AGGTTCTCAGTCATCCTAAAGCTGCCCATCAGTGGGCTGAGGATCAAAGCCAGAAACTTTGAAATGTTATAGATGACCAAGTTGATCACACAGACAATCAGTCTTATAGGTACATCCTGTTTATGTATCTTTGGTAAACCATACAGACTTGGTGTAGCTTCCCCTGGGTATAGCCTGTGGTATGAGGTCTGGTCTTGTTCTAACTGCTTCAGACAGTCATGCCCTCTTCCTGTAGCCACTTCCTGGGTCTCATTTCAGGGGCTCATGAGTATTTTCATCACTGAGCAGAGACAAAATTTTCTCATGATTGTCTTTCTGAATGAGCAAAACTGTGTACCTGCCCCTTGTCTGCAGGAAGGATGATAATGTTGTTGTCATTACCAAGTGATGTGAGTGCCTTCCTCTCCTCCATGCTGATGTTGGTCGCTGGGGGCTTTTGTGTGTGTGTGTGTGTGTCGTCTTTGCTGAGAAACTGGCAGTACGGTGGTAGAAAGCTTGCTGCTACGTTTGCGAATGGCGGATAGGGAAGAACCGGGGATCTAGTTGTCAATTTGCTTAAGCATTTAGCTAAAGGAGGGATGGAAACATCATGACGATGGAGAACAGTAGAGAGTATGGAGCTAGCGACAGATTTCCAGCTTGCATGAAATGATGTTAGTAGGAAGGAGAACAGAGCTGATCTTCCCCCTGCTACCTGGCGCTAGTGGGTGGGTGGAGCTACGAAGCATGCTGTAGCTTTTGCGGTTGGAGCCGCAATTTGTTTGGAAGCTTGGGTTCGGCGTTGACGTCTGTCGACTTTTTTGTGACCCGTTTTGGAGCAACGTGAGAGGAGCTGTGAGTTCTGCTGGCCGGCGACCTCGCTGGTTTTCGCTTAAGTGGCGGGCAGCTGGAGTTACTTCATGACTGGATTTAGCGGAGATGAGACGACTGGCTTGATGGATTAGCAGACCGTATGTCGGGTGGCGAGAAACCTGCTAGGAGGTAGTCAGCATTCGGTTTTTTGAAAGCGCCGCCGTGACATTCGGTGTGTTTCTGGGATTGCCGGAGGAAAAGCGATGGATGCAGAGCCTTAGTAGTTGTTCGTTTGACACGCTGACAGACGAGAGGACGATTGTAGCGAATGGAAGGGTGAGTAAAATTACGTTACTCCTGGAAGATAAGCTATGTTTAAAGGCATTCAGCGAGAATGGACCTTGTTTGCACGTAAACGAGAATGAACAGCTTGCAGAACTGGGGGATCCTATATAGATCCTATATAGATGACAACCGAAAGGTGTTCCTTTCGGTTGTTTGGAGGTGTGCTCCCGCTCCTGAAATTCCGTTACATAATCTCCAATTCTGTGGCTGTGGTCAGTTCCACTAGTGAGATTTATCTCAGTGTCACGGCAAAGTTCAACCCTTTTGCAAGGTTGCTTTTCTCTGCTTGGGTTACCTGTACGAGAAATTCGTCACCTACTTGTCCTCTGTGTGGCATTATTCTCTCTGCTGGCTGCTGAGGACACTCTGAATTTTGCTGTGGTTTCTGACACACAACAAGTAAGTCAAACTTCCTTTGTTGCCTGGGTTACAATTTTTTTTTTGCTGGGCCAGATGAGCCTTATCAGTGAATTCAAACATCTTTTGATGAGTATTCTCACCAGGCATTGTAAATCCGTGTCGGATCTGCTCCTCTTTGGATTTTAGCATGTCAATGTTAAAATTTGTTTGTCTCAGCTGTTCGTTCTGGAGGATTTTAGTTGCCTGGAAGCCCTAAACTGAAGAGCTCATTTGCAGACTTTTAGGAGTAATCGTATTTTGTTTGCATCTGAGGCTGAATCTCAGCTGGTTCCTGTAATCAGCCTTCTTACATGTTGTTTGCTCACACTGACGAACTGGCTTTAGGGAGTTCTTGCCAAAGTGGGTTAAAATGTCTTGATGCATGCTCAACATCATCAAGGTAAGTTGGAAGAAATGTTTCATCATCATCAGGTGACTTCTTCAGTCTCACCTGACTGCAGGTTTCCCCAATCTTATAAAAAGTACATTTGCATAATGACTGAAACCAGTCCACTGAAGGAAAAATGGGCTGGGAGGTCAGTTCGTTGATCATTAATATGCAAATTGTCATGACCATTCATCAACTACCATTTATCATGTCCATGAGTACTATTCACAGAGAGTTGGGAGTTGCCTGCAATCACAGCATTGTAAGAATGTGAAAGATGTACCCTTAGGCCCCTCCTCGATTCAGAGATGGTCTTTCCCTTTTCACATAAATGTGTACCGTAAACCTATGAATACGGATCAGTATTTAAAGTTTGACTGTCATCATCCACTGGAGCATAAACTGGGTGTCATCAGAACGCTACAACACAGAGCGAACACCATCCCCACAGACACAGCGGCCAGGGAGGTAGAAGAACATCAAGAAGGCCCTGAGTAAATGTGGTTATCCCAGCTGGACTTTTGTCAAAGTGGGAAAGGCAATGCAAGACAAGGCAAATTTATTTGTATAGCACAATTCAACAACAAGGTGATTCAAAGTGCTTTACAGAGACATTAGAAACAAAAACAAATAAAAAGCATGATTTAAAATTGATTAAAACAAGCAAACAAACAAACTAACTAAACACACACATTTCACACCTGTTCGCGCGATCTGAACCCTTATCGTAAGGGGAGCTACCAGTCCTTCTGTGGACGAGCTACTTTCTATTTTAAATTCCCTGAATTTAAAATACTCTCTAGACCCAGCTGGGGAGCTACCCAGAGCTCTAAACCCACTTAACAAACAAACAAACAAACAAACAAAACAGTATATAAAATCAAAACAGATAAAATCAGAACAGTAGATAAAATCAGTAGTTAATGTAAGTTTTGAAATTTAAGCTTAACAAACAAACAAAACAGTATATAAAATCAAAACAGATAAAATCAGAAATAGATAAGATCAGTAGAAAGGCTCCTAAAGAAAGCTCCTAAAACCCCAACACTTTTTCCAGTTTAAAAAAATGAAATATAAAGTTCACAGATTAAAAAGAAAGCTGCAGATGATCCAGGAGAGAAGAAGGACAACCGCTCCCTAAGAGAAAACCTGTAGTGATCCCATACGTGTCAGGAGTCTATTTACACTTACAGGCCAGTGGACACTCTTTCAATGATGAGGATGTAACATCCTGGACAGGGAGGGACGCTGGTTTGAGGGCGGAGTCAAGGAGGCCATTTACAGGAAAAGGGAAAGACCATCTCTGAATGGAGGAGGGGCCTAAGGGTACATCTGTCACCATCTTACAATGCTGTGATTGCAGCCATTCCCCAACTCTCTGCGATTGGTACTCATGGTCATTGATCAGTGGTTGTTGATCAATGGTCTAGGTTCAGATGAACAAAATCAATTTTATGGGACTCCCTGAACCAGTTCCAGTAAGAATCACTGTGGCAGAAATCCACGAACACGTCTCCAGTATGAAGAGTTGGACAGCAGCAGGCCTCGACATGATTGGCTGACTGCAAAAAAAGCTGACTGCACTCGTCGAGCGTCTGGCAGCACAAATGACCCAGCAGCTAATGGATGAGAAACACCCAAAATGGCTGACAGAAGGCCAGTGAGATTATTGAGGAGACTGGCTGTGGATACCGACTACAGAATGGAGCAATCATCAGCCACCTCCTCTACATGAAAGACATCAAGCTGTATGCCAAGACTGAATGAGACATTGATTCACTGATCCAAACCACCGGGATATACAGCAATCACACTGGAATGTCATTTGGACTGCAGAAGTGTAGTCGGATGGTACCAAAGAGAGGGAAGGTAGTCAGAACTGAGAGGATCGTACTACCGGAAGGCAACATTGTCCACCTTGAGGACAACTACAAGTACCTTGAGACAATCCAGCACATAACAGCAGGGTGCAAGATGCCAGCAAGCAGGGCATACATGGAACGCCATTACCAAGTGGACAGCATAGTATACAGTAACATCTGTGCCGAGTATGGACTGGAAGTCTTGAGGTCAAACAAACGTTTGGCTTCACTGCTTTTTTGAGTTTTTGGTTTTTGCCTCAGAACTCTCCCACTGATGTCATTAAGAAACCATTGTCTTGGGTTTCTTAATCCATAACTCAATATGTGATGTGCTGTTTAAAAAAATAAACCAAAAATGCCTTGAGGGTCTGAATGCCAAACCAATGACTAATATTATTGAAGTTATGAAATATGTGGTGCAATCATGGGAATTATGTATACATTTCATACATTTCTTGCAACTGTGTAGTTACTATCATCTGAATGCTTCTGTAAAGATTAGATGTAGCAAAGATTCTGTGGATAGTGTTATGTGACAATCCTGTGACTGTGTACATCCCAATAATTTTTTTATGTAAGCCAGTGCATCAGATAACACTGTTTTCATAAATGCTAAAGCATACTAGAACCTGAATACTTAGTTCAACTCAGGTCAATTCAATTATTTCAAGGCACTTTTTGTATTCATTTGTTAGAGTATTGTAAATATTGCAAGAATAAAAGTACATCCATGGTTCTCATGTGTTTGTCAGCTCAATAGTGTCAGGATCTCTGCAAACTACAGGAGATTAGAGAGTTATCAAGTCCTAAATATAGGCTGATAATCTGCATATTTTCCACAGACAGGAAGCTGTAGATTGTTCATCTGGCTTCACCCATGCTGCAAACTGCTGGAGCAATTAACAGAAATTCAGATGATGCAGTGTCTTTGTTTCTGCCTGGATGATTAATGCTGAAATTCAGACAACCGGCCCAATATGGCTGCCCTCCTCAGGGGTGTAAGCATGTGCAGACGCTAGGAAAAATGATTTCCATATAAATAAATACACGGATAAATAATTTCTATTTATTCATATCCCCTTTCTTCTCGACTGCCTAAGCCTTATTTACATGCTGTTTCTGTCAGCTTTCCTGAGAGTGTGTGTTTTCTGTGTGAAGGCGCTGTGTGTATTAAGGAGGACGATGGAATGAAGAGCAGGTAGACGAGCATCTACCTCTTTGATGAGGGCCATGAAGCGGTTTCCAAAACGCCAGGGCTTGTGTCGGTTGCACTGTAATGAGCTGACAGTGATCTGCTGAGACTGCTGCACAGCAACGGCCACCACGTGCACAGCATCATACATCAGTGCAGCATCTGTCTGCAAACCAAGACAAGGAGGGAGAAACGATCATTAACTGGGAATACAGCACATGACACATTAGCTCATAACACCAGCAAAGATTTGTCCAAAGTAAGGAAAATATCAATATTGTGACACTCAAATCAACGCCTCACATCAAAGCTCACGTATAGATTTGCATATTTCATGCCATAGGCATGCCCCTGAATATTTTACTGCCAGTGTCTTATGAACTGATAAGAGACTTCTGAAAGCAGCTTGCAAGAAGCAATATATTCTGACAGGGGAAACAAAAAAGTAATATGGGAATAAATCTGACATAAAAGAAGAATATTTAATCAAACTCGAGGTTTTCCAAGTTCATGAGAACATACACTATATATCTTTCATTTTCATTGAAAAAAAGATTATTTAAACGCAACTCTAAATCTTGCTACTCAGCAGAACCTCAAAAAAAAAAAGCCACAACAAGCAGACAATTTGAGATACACAAACCCGGTGAGGTTTCCAGTAATAACCGAGTAATGAATTATTATGTGTTTACATCCAACTAAGTTGTTGTTATGAAGAAAATGTGAGTCGTCTGCAAAATAAAAAATATGGGGAAAATTAAAAAAAAATAGTTTGAATAATATAAAAAATAAATAAGTTATGTAAAGAAGTGGAAAAACGAAGAGTTCCTACATATATCTAAGCTCTGACAGGACCTGACTCCAGCAGTTGGGAACATGACGGCTGAAAGCCAAACAACATTTCTGTTTTAAAGTTAGAAAGTTGAGCAGCCGCCGAGTAAGCAGCTGTCCTTTAAATGTGTATGATTGTAGCCAGCCTGGAACATATTGCACCTCATAGAGCGCAAGAGGCAAGGCACATCCTAAAGCTTTGGCCCAACACAGAGAGACAGCCTCATGCTCGTACACCACAATTTAGAATCAGCAGTTTACCTAACAAGCATGTCGATGAACTGTGGGAGCAAGCTGGATAATACCCATGTGCAAAGGCAGCAGCCGATGAGGATATTGAAACCAGGAATCTAACTCCTGTGAGTTTGACTTACATCAGGCACGTGAGGCCTGTAACTGAGGGTTTGGGTAGTGTTGTCATGGCGTTACTAACAGAATCTTTTTTTGTTCAGTGATTTGATTTAATACAGATACAACAAACCATTGAAACAAGTGAAACAAACGAGAAACAAAAGCGTGATATGACAAAAGATTCACAGACTGTGCGTGGAAGACGTTACCACCTTTATTTCTGTCAGTATATTCCTACATTGAATTCTTGACAGTCGGTCTAAATAGAAGACCATTGCTGAAGCTATCAGAAAGTGCCAGTCATACACACTTCACAAATGAAGCCTATAATTCTGCAGCTCCTTGCGAAAAAAAGAGGTTAAATTAACGTTTGTCTCGCTTGATTGAAAAGCAATCACAACAGCTCTCCTCAGTTGTTGCACAGAAATCATACCCTAGGGTGCTTGGGAAGGCTCTGTCCTACTGGAAAAAAAACAACAACAAACCTATCAAACCTGTTATTTTCCCACATTTGAGCCCTGATTGAGCGTCACAGTGCTGCAGCTTAAGACTTCATGTGTGTTTTTGTTTGTTCATGTGTGGCTGTGTGCAGTTATATTCATATCCATAGGAAGTGTCCAGGGATGCACTTAAATCAATGATAGTCAGTGAGCTTTTCAAAATGCAACTGGCTTGAGTGTGTGCCTGGAGGAGTGTGAGGTACTAATAATCTGTGTTAGAAGAAGGTGTTGAGGCAAATGGGAGTGTGAATTTATTTTAGTGTAGGTGTCAATGGAGGCTGTTGATCTTGTGTGCTGGGGGTTAGCATACTCTAACACACTATTCTTCTGAAGAGTCAGGATGAGTATGATCCACTCTGATTACAGAACTGCTAATGCTTCACGTTAAATCAGTGCAGTCTAACAGCAAATGGGAGATAGTCAAAGAAACGCAACATATTTGCGGGGGTTTCTTGTTTTTCGACAGCATGAACTTTAAAAAAAATGCATTTTATTAAGGAAAATATTTTATGTATGCAGCACACGGGTTGTCAAAGCAGCGATGTGTCACTATGGCAACCAAGAATGAGTTTTAAAAGAACCAGTAATCATTGCAACATAAACCAATCGTTTTTTTTCTAACCCATACCAAGTTCTTTTAAAGCTGAAACCATTTCTAGTCTTGTCCATTATGTGGGGGAGGATGTCACTCCACTCTCTACCACTTCATCCAACTTGCTCCAGAATTTCTCGTTTGCCATCCAACCTGAAGGACTGAGAACATTCAACATCTCCCCTCCGAGTTTAGGCTGGAGTCTCAGGAGTCTGTCTGGCACTGTCTTCATCTCTACAACACTATTGACATAGTCCTCGTTCAAGATGACCCACCTCACACCAGAAATGGATTCAAAGTGTCCTGTCATGGTAAGAAATCTAGATCATGTCAGAACTAGTGCTAGTGTCATTGTGCTTGGTATCCTGCACACACAGTATATCTATCTTCCTCCTCTTGATCATGAGTTTCTCCCTTTACCACATGTAATAATTTAAAGCCCCTACTCTAGAACTTTCCCTCTGCCTTCTAACATGGCTTCTCCCTTTCTTCTTTCACTGTCTTCGTCCAACAGTAGCACAGTTTGCACTGGCACCCTGTAGGCCAACAGAACCCATGGTGGTCATTGTTAACCAGTGCTATTTGGCCATGTCGATGCTCTTCTTGGCACAATCCTACTTACTCATGCAGGCCTAGGACTGGCACTTAGGAGTACACATATAAATAAATGATGTGTAAAAATCTGTGACATGTATGACTTCAACTTGTTTTTCCAGTGTGAGTGGTAAAATGATTCACATGACCTCTCTGCCCTCCAAATGTGCACTTCTTCAGATTAGTGCATATCAGACTGGACAGATAAAAATCATATGCAGGTTGTAGGTTTGTGTTCACTGGAACTAAGCTCAACTCCTGAAAAACAATCCCACATCAAAATTCCCCCCTGCACAAAACTGTACCGTTGCAATGCAGTTAGACCAGTACTGCTCTACTGGCAACCACCAAGCCACCAGATTGTCAGACTTGTAACACCAGAGGACGTTTCCTCTCTGCACTACAGTCCAGTGGTGGCGTCTTTACACCACTGCGCTTTAAGGCTTGATCCATGAAAACCCATTCAATGAAGCTCTCTACACACTGTTCTTGAGCTCATCAGGTGGCCACATGAAGTTTGGGGTCTGTAGTGATTGGTTCTGGAGAAAGTTATAAGAAAGATATGTGAATGGCTGATTAGAAATTTTAGGATTATGAGCAGTTGAACAGGTCTATGCAGTAAAGTGGCTGCTGAATGTATGTAGCATAAATTTACTAGAGCGACTTTATATCATTTCTTTGTTTTCTGATGCATATAGTTTGATGAGTATAATTTAGCTTTTTTCAGTTTCAACACTTGTAACATTTACCCTGTTTGTAGAAGCAGTCCTTGGTTTTTCACACCTGTTGTCATGGAAATGATTGGAATCCTGATATTCAATGATTTGTGTATATTACGGCTGTCCAAATTCATGGGCTGCATCCTCCTGAGGACCTGTCCTTTGCTCTACGTGGGCCAGGTCCTCAGGAGGTCGGGTGGCCCGGAGGTTTATTCAGCTGTGTGAAAACCCCAGAGGAACCCACCCGGGGGATTAATAAAGTTTAATTTTATCTAATCTAATCTAATAACTTTAATCTCAGCCAAACCGATTTACATACAAACAAATAAAACCAAACAATAAGATTTTTAGGTTGTCTAAGTGACTTATATATCATGTTTAACCTGAGTAGCAAATGGGTTGGTTTGAGAACAATGTGCCGGGAGTTCACTGTTCTCGGGGGCTCCAGTGACCCTCGAGCTCCTGGTCAGCTATCGAGCTGGTGGGTAACAGACGTCTCCGAAAATGTCGGAGCACTTTTGCAAATATGCGATATCTTGATAAACCGAGCAGATATTTGAGGTTTACACAGCTACATTCTTGCCTGAAAATATATTTAAAGTTTATTTTGTGACCCAGAAAGATTAATAAGAGCAATATTAAAAACTTAGTAGCGGGCGCCATTGTTGAAAACTGGAATTGGCTGGGACGCGCTATGAATTCTGGGATATCGTGGGCCACGAAGGATACACCCGACCCATCCTTATAATATTCTGTCTGTAACTGCAGGCTTCCTGCAATATACTCTATGTACTTTGATATTTTGTGTACCTTGAACACAGCACTGCTAATGTAGCATGCATGTTTTTATATTGAGGAAGAAAGTGCCCAGAAGAAACCCGGACATTCACAGGGAGAACTCCACACATACACAGATATGCAGAAGGCGTGCTACCCTTCAGTCCTAATACTGAAAAATGAAGGACGATTCAGATTATGTATTTAAATAATCTCTGGTGGCGTCGTCACTCTGCTACCTAAAAAACACATTTGTTTTTATTCCAAAACAACAAAGCCTGCCAGTGGGTGGAGAAGTGATACTGTTTGTGTATATGAGATCATAATGACCGTTCAGTGGGCTGTACCTTTTTAAATGGGTACTTTAGTCAACACGACTTTGTGCTTTTGAATGGAAAGAATTCAGCTCCACTGCCATTTTCATTGCAGGCAGTGTTCCTTTTAGTGTTGAGGGCAGGAGCTGCACTCTGTCATGATGCCATCTATTCTCTCTGTTATAAAGCACACAGGCCCAGAGGGAACTCATAATAGCAATGTGACAGCCTGTCAGTCAGTTACACCGTGTATGCTATATACAGGAGAAGTCGGCAGGACTAGAAGTGAACTTGTACAAAAGCCTAATCAAAGTCATAAAAAAAAGTATTTAATTTAAATGTGCTCTTAATTAAAATAAGAAGAAGCCAAATGCATTAAGTGGTGTGCAGGAAAGAGAAAAGATGAGCTGAGAATTGCTGGAGGAGTTCTGGCAGGAGAGGTTTGTGTGCCTCTCTGCTTCTCCCTGGTGCGAGCCTCACAAGTACCC